CCCCAAAACCCCAAAACCCCAAAACCCCTTTTACGTATCAAGATATTGAATATTTTAATTAGTTCCAGCTGAATGCTTAAGCTAGACATTTTTTGCCTTTATTTGAGCATGCTTCATTAGATAAGTTATCAGGATGATTTCGAATATTACCAACCTTATTCAGACATGTATGAGCAACATGTCTCTTTCCAGTGCTTCAGAAAAAGAAGTTAGAAAAGAGGTGAAGCATTTTCTCGACAAAAAGCAAAGTCAGATACAAGAGATATCAGCCCAAATTGAAGCTTTAAAAGATGGTGAACTGCCTAATGAGGAGGAAATCAAAAGCCAAGTCGTTAACATCTTCACCGAAATGAGAAACCACGAAGAGTTCAAACAATTTTGAGTAAGCAACTATATCAAGTTTGTATCTGAATACCTCAAAATGTCAGATACAGACCTTGATTGCATACTTAAACTTGAGCTAACACAGCAAGAAAAGAAGCTAGTTTTTGAGCAGGATGAATGGGATAGAGATGACATTGACAAACTTTTAGAAGAAATTAAAGAAAAAGAAGCAATTTTAGAAGAAATGAAAGAGAGCATAGAGCAATTTAAATCCAAAGTCATCTCTTCTTTGGACCCAACGAAATTTGAAGGACTAAGTCAAATTTCTAGGATATTTCTAAACAAGCAAATAGGCTCAGAAAAATTTTCAAACTTTGAATTAGATCTAAAACAAAAAGAGGATTTGGAATTAGTACAATTATTACAAGGATACTCGATGCCAAGTTTAATCAAATTTGTTATTAAAAGATTGCCGGAAGAGCTAGATATTCTGAGAGAATTTATTTTTGGATGTTTCTCATCTTGTGTAAATACATTTGGTTTGAACAAAGAAGGCGAGAAAAGAAAGATTGGAGATATTTTAGATATTCTCTGAATTATAGCCCAGAACACAAGCTCAAGCCTCTATCTGCATAACTTTGAATTAAATACTTCAGATCTTAAAAGAGTATTGGAACTATCAAAAGATAGACAGAAAATATTAATCTGAGAAGAGATTCAAACAATAGCTAAAAGCTCAAAAGTTTTAACTAGTCTAAACAATCGAAAATATCTTCTCTCAACCTAAAAGATGACTCTTATCAAATTTAGGTTTTGAAGTAGATTGTAAAAAAAGAAAAGTCTCAATTTTTAGGGTTTGTCTCTGCAACATGTTAGTTAATGATAAAGCAGCCAGCTAAATTCAAGTTTCTATCTCTTGAAATGAACCAATAGTTTATATGACCTTAATATCAGGTTAATAAGTAACCCAAAACAGCTCATGGATAATTGGGAAGAAGGTCATTAATCTAGAATAGTATTATCTCTCATAGTCTAATCCAAACGCTTAACCAGAATACTTTTTATCCATTTTAATGAATTTATCTCAAGAATCTGAAAATATTGGTCTTCGAATCTTGTATCCTCAAGTTCGATATAGCACCAAAATTTAAGAGCTTTTCTAACAAATCAAAATTAAATACTCTCTGTTTTAATAAATGAGGATCACCAGAAAATTCTGACTGGAAAAACTATCCGGAAAGATTTGAAAACTTATGAAAAGGACTATCGCAATACTTTTGCAAAGGACTATCCCAATACTTTTGCAAAGAATTAATGATAAAGAATTTATATTTCTATAATTTTGATCTTGAAGAGGAAAAGATGCGAGAAATATATAATAAGTATGGGATGAAGAACACCAAAGTTATTTTTAAGGCAAATATTCGAAGAATACGAATTAATTAATTAATTTCAATTAATTCTTAATCTCTCGGGGTTTTGGGGTTTTGGGGTTTTGGGGTTTTGGG